CGCTTCCGTGTTGTTCGTGTTGCTGCTGCTGCTGCTGCTGCTGCTGTATACATTCACGTGCAGCCGCAGCGGCAGCGCCTCTGCGCTCCTGCTCAAGTTGACATGTTAACACTCACTGGCTGCTATATTTAGCCCAGCCTCACAGTGCTGTTACTATTCCCAGCCTTGTACATGAGGGGGCGGTCTTTAGGTGTGTTTTTTTATAATAAAAGACAAAAAAAAGTTCTCTTTTACCAACTGATTTATTTTCTCCCCCACATGCTTGTATAATTCTCTATCCCCCGCCCGGTGATGAGGGACAGAGTAAGAAGAAGAAGAAGCTGTTAATGAAGTGGAGTGTCTATAAAAACACCTGTTTGGCCCAGTGACAACAACAGAAGTTCCGGAGAGTGGAACGGAGTGAAGTCCTGCAGTGTTTTTACCAAAGAAAGAGTCTGATTTTAACATTCACCAAACGTTCTGATACACTACCCTTGATGAGCACACACTCAGCACCATGGACAGTTCCTGTCCGACTCTGGTTTTTCAGAGTTCATATCTACTGTAAAAGCCAATGACGGTCCTAAAGGGGGTGGCCATGGCCCCCCACAGGGAACCTGCCAGCTCCTTTACCCCCCTGATCTTTGACAGAGCTGCTGACTGCATATTGTCTCTTTAATTACTTTTTTTTTTGTTGAGCAACACATGGTCCTGGGCTGGAACACAGTCTGGGTTACAGTGGTTTAGGAGGATCAATTTGATGTTTCAAGGTTTTTACGGTGCACATCTGGACACCACTGTCAAAACCTCCAAGGAAAGAAGTGGTGCAGAGTCAATCCAATAGCATTACCACACAAATACACAATATGTATCTTATTCAATGCAATGTTAGAGACAGTGGCAGCAACTGAAACCATTAATAATGACTGTCTGTCATGTTAAGATCATTTTGGCACCTTAAGGAAAGGTTTTGGGTCTGTTAAAAACCTTTGTTTTTTCCTGCCCCCATCATAGAAACAGAGTATGAATACAATCTGGCTAAGATGGACTGACTGCAGATTTGGGTCGGTTAAAAACCTTTGTTTTTTCCTGCCCCCAACATCTTTAACAACCAAAAAAGCCCGGTCCTAAAGTGAGTTCCAACAAGTGCTTTAGGTGAACTCATGTACCTTCACGTGTTCATACAGCGGTTCTATTTTTCTCCATCTCTCTATTTGAGGGTCTTCGTTGCTTCCTCTGCTACTGCTGCTGCCGCCCACTCCTCCTCCACTTGATTATTTTCAGCATCACCCCCTGTTTGTGCGTGTATGTGTGTGTGTGTTGGCTAGCTGGTTTGCTGACTGGCTATGGGGCTGGTTTGGGAAATACCTGGTCACGATCAATGAAAAAAATGGGTTCTCTGTGTTAGACAGCGCCCCCTCGACACCACCTTCCTCCTGTCCCTCCAACAACATCAAGGTTAGACCTCAAACGCAACATGATGGCTGTGCAGCACAGTGTCACTGAGAATAACAACGGGGTCCATCGGACTAAAGACATCAACATTTTACCAAAGGCAGTCAGAATGTTTTTCATAAAACTACAGTGGAGTGTATTACGGAGAAATGTGATCTGCGGGACAACAATAAAGTATAATGTTCTCAACACACATATTGTATCGTAGAACCCAGGTTTCCGTTTGGTTCTCCGGGGTATCAGTGTTTCTCCACACGCCTTCACACGACCGCAAACACAAAGAAAGACAGAAAGACATCATAAAAGCTTCTAGTGACTCGGTGAGGATAAAAATAGAAACGGTTGCTTTGCGAGGAAAACCCTGGTCTGGCGCGCCCTCTAGAGGGAACACACTGCCACGACAAGAGAGAATACGTCCATTAACTTTCCCTTCAATAAAATGATGCTATTTTAAGTAATGCTATAAAAAACAATTGCTGCATCTTTTGGGAGTATTAACATATATATATATATATATATAAACAGAACCCACCGAATGGCCCCACACTAGTGAGGTCTCTGGCAATGCTAAAAAGTTTTTGTTCACTTAAACCACCCTCGACTTGACACACAGTTGTTATAAAAACAGAAACTCTCTAATGAAATGAAAGTTATGAAAATTGTACCTGCATTTCTCGGAGCTTCTTCCTTCTCGTCCTCAGACTCTCTAATGTTATGAAAATTTATGAAAAGTTATGAAAATTTTACCTGCATTTTTCGGAGCTTCTTCCTTCTCGTCCTCAGATTCGTTTTAGAGTGATGTCCAGTTTTGTCCATGTCGGTGTTTCCATGTCCTGTCCACATCATCAATAGTCCACACCGTGTTCTTATCACATTTGTAATGTTGTGTTGTTGTCAAGTATATTCCAATAATGAGATCAATTTGCTTCAAACATATTTTAAAACACGGCTCCTGCTGCGAGATGCTGAAGTTTTCATCTTCCTGAAAATTCTACAACAGCTGAACTCAATTAGCTATAATCAAAGCCAAGCAGGGGCAGGTGAGTAGAGATAAAAGTAGGTTAAAAAATAAAAGTAAGGCTAAACAATGTTATTTTTTCTTCAGATCCTACATTTTTTTAAACGCAGCATTTCCTTTGGTCAACAGGACCGAGAAAAAGACATACTTTAACACTGTAGAGCTCCAATATTTAACATATTTCTATTTTCATTTTGCTTAGACACTCAACTTCCAATTTACCCTCACACTACCATTTGGTTTTAGTTTGAATAATCTGGGTTACCTCCACACATGCCCCAGGCCTCTTTTAAGGTACAGAATAAAGGTCATAATATGTTATCAATTCAAACATGTCAAAACCAGCAGGGGAACATAGTTCCTTTTTCTCATCAGGCCAATTTTATATTGAAGTTTCTCCAGTACTTCAAAGCTGAAGTGAAATACAGAAAGTGACAAGTATGTGTTTGTTTTTTAGGGTTTAGTACAACAATAAAACAATTGATCTAAACATTTCACAACCATAAACGTATCAAATTCTAAATGCTGATGTTTCTGTATTTCATAGGCTGACACGGTGGACAGACACAGAGGTCACAGGTCAGAATCTTCATCCGGAGCCAAGAATGACGGGTAAAAAAACAAAACAAAAAAAAAAAAAAACTTGCCAACAATAAAAATGCACTGTTCCATACAAGTTTATGATAAAAATCCAATAACACATCATCGTTTTATACAAAACAATAATCAGCCAATTCAACTGAAGCTCTAATAAAAAGAAAAGATTAAATAAAAATGTAAGAAGAAATGCATTCTTCAAAGGCTGCAAAACAAGAGGAGCAATTGTATCTTTTCCTACAACAGTCTGACAAAAATATTTATCAATTAGCACATGGCAGTCTTTTGTTCCACAAAAATACACATGGTAGGATTTTGTTTCTTTAAAAACTA